AGCAGATTAACATGTACAACTACCAATGCTACATTTTAATTAGGGAAAAAAAATAAAATAAAACAAGATGAAGGATAATATTCACAGTCAAACATCATTAAGTGAGTTGGGGGCTCAGTCTTCCAAATGACAGACACCTTGCACACACCGTATATCACAAATAACATCCTTAATCACTGGTCCCACACTAATACAACACTCCACATGTTAAGAGAACGACTCAATTTTCACGCAACCACGGATGGTCCCTCTGCTCCACTAGCAGTCCGGAGGCTGACATCTACACTTAAGGCAGGCTAGCAATGTCCCGTTTTGGAGGGGGTCCTTCTGGCTTGCAGGCAGAGCCGTTGGCTTTGTCCTCAAAGATCAAGACTCTGCGGAGAGAGAGGCATTATGGTTATCATAAAGAGCCATCATTGTGTCAAATTCATTGGCAGTGGCACTGGATTTTTTTATAGCTGTACCAATAAATCAATATCGGCTTCAATACACAGTTCACAAAGAATTCGTTATTTGATTGTGATCAACAAGAGAATGCACGAGGACTTGTGTCCAAAACCTGGATGGCGTGCTGCTGCTGAATATTTGGAGCAGCATTGCTAGGTGGTTGCTAAGGTGTTGCTAGGTGGTTGCGGCAAGCCCGTGCAAGGTTTCTTTCTCTCGGTTCTGGGGGGTTTGTCGGGGGCACTATGGGGTGTATGAGTTGGTTCTTTGATGCTAAGTCTGATTGGATACTAGGGCAGACTTCATGGTTGCTGTGGTGTCTTTGGTCCGTAGCAGTGACGGAGGCTGATGTGACCAATGAAATCACCCTGTGTGACTACTGGACAGCAAGCACACTCTAATCAAATGTGGTTATATAGTACTAATCCACTAATCAGTTCAACCGAAATCAGTTTAGACAGGCGTATATCGAGACTTTGACGGCTTCAGCACCACGGAGAGAGGCATAAAAAGAAGTAAAATGTAAATATAAATAAGGAAGAAAGAAGGTAGTATTAGAAGAGGTAAAAGTATAAACAATACAAGCAGGGTGTGTGAGTGAGGGGGGATAATTTAGCTCCTGGCAGATACAAAAAGCCACAGTTACAGTTGGGGTATGAGCTGGCTGAGCAGCAAGTGAAAAGAAAGGAATGAAGGGAAACCACAAAGGGACTGCGGGGAATAGTGGTTTAGGCTGTACACAGTAGAGTGAGCAATCTGACAGGAGCTATTCAGAGCGAATGCCTGTCTTTAATTTCCTTTTTTGGAAAACTCTGCAAAGCTCCACTAAGCCCATAAGGAGCAATGATCCCAACGACGAAACCGGCACTTCTCTCTGGCAACCGCTCTCGTTTCCCCCCCTTTTCTTCACACTGCTTACACCTCCTTCTCTGCGACCAAAAAAGCTGCATGCAGTCGGTCAGGTCGCTGCCCAAAGTCAGCGGTCAACTACTGATTCAATGATGCATCCAATAACGAGGTGAATATCCAGGTTTTGTCATTAAATTAAACATTGTATATATGTGAATTCAATCTGTCGGGCTTTGTCTCGTTTAAAATTGATAATGACTATGTATGATTTTCACATATTGCCATGTTAGCCTAATCAGCTCTGTGTAGACAGAAGAGATTATTAGATAAAGTGACCAGCTGACTTAATCTTGTTATTGTGCGCATACCATGGATTGTACAAGTTAAACAGATAGTTGCTCTGTACTGAACACTGTACAATGTTTTTTTGATGGGAATTTTTTTTTTATTTTGTTTTGTGTGAAGCCTAAAAGCAACAGTTTTGCAGTCAAGATCCCTCACAGCTGTTTCACTAGCATAAAACCTAAAATCTGTAAGGCTTGTCCGTCATTAAAACTCTTGGTAAAACAAACTCTAGTGACTTTGACAGTGACTTTGTTCAAAGAGCTTTCACAAACTAGGCCCAATTGTGGAGCCTGACCTCAACCATTTTTCTCTAATTGCAACAAAATCAATTGTTGCCCTGCTAAAAGCTTGGAATAACACTATTCTAAAGCCGTTTGGTACCCCCAACCTCCCCCCTCCCCTCTCTAGAGACAAAAACAGCAGCACACAACAGAGGCGTTGTAGGCCTTTGCAGTTATCAGAGAGTATGGAGCGGTAGGCTGCCAGCTGGAGTAAAAAGGCAACAAAAAGATAGATACTCAGCAGCGTGTAGGTTGCGACCAATGTTTTCTTTTTTAATCAGAACAAGGAGTATGCATACACTCCAAAATGTCAGTAGTCAATAAAAGCCCGCTTAAATGAAAACGCCTTGCCCGTTTATAAATTTGTTAACATTCTTGCAATGTTCTGCACAGTCGAGCTTAAGATTTCACAAGAGGGAACCAAATCCTTCACCCAAAAACCGATCCAAAATGTGTGTAGTAAAATAAACCTGAGATTTCAACATCAGTTTAAGTGTCTGGAATACAGAGGCTAACTAGAATGCTACCAAGTGGACAAGTGAGGCCGGGAGGGAATGAGACATTTATAAATAGCGGCTGGGGGATTATGGGATACACTTTTGAAAAAACGGTTGAGGGCAAAGGAGGAAAAGTTATGCATTTTTCTCTGCTTGGTGTTTTTGGGATTATGCGATTTGTCTACTAAAGGGTCCAGCCAGCTTAGTCCAGCAGAGCTGACATGCAGCAGCCAATGCACTCTCAGCCCGCTGCAAGGCTGCTTTAAAAGGCTTACACTGCTTACACTAACCCTTAACCCTCAAAATGGCAGGAAATATATCACCTTATCCACCAGGGACCATTGGAATAAATGAGATAATTTAGAAAGAAATATTCTCCACTGTAAAAGAGGAACTTTGTTGATGGAATTTGATGAGTTTTTAGTGTTTTAGTGAGTCCCGCAACACTGTCAGTGGTTAATCAGCCTATCGTCAGTGACCTAAGCACATGATCCCAGTTAAGGATAAGGATGGGTTCACTATGGATAGGCTACATAGATGGGTTTTGTTGCCATGGAGATTAACGACTAATGCAGCATGTGGGTGAATGACATCATCGCTAGTCATCCCAGAACCCCCTGCTGATGGATCAAACTATTGGCTGACACAGCACAGGATTCATATCCTTCCTCTCAGGGATGTGTCATACACACGATGAACCAGCAGGCGGTTTATGGACACAACTAACTCTGCATATATGTCTGTATTCTTTTTACACACACACACACACACACACAGGTTTACTTACAGTTTGAGCACAGCTGAGCGCTTGCCGAGCATCATCTTGACAAAGTCCCTGTAGTTGATAGTGTTGCTGCTGCCGCCCGTCACCTCAACGATCATCTTTTTCAACTCCAGGTGGGTCTTGGGCACCCCCAGCTTCTCCATCATTCGCTTCAGACCCATCATTTCTGAAAGAAGGAACAGTTGACAAACTTAGCTTAGGGCTTAGGTGAAACAATGCAGATCCTTTTTATGTATGTATCAGATTCAAAGTTTGCATTTCTACCAAAAAATGAGGTTGTGAGGAAACTGGAACTTGATGCTTAAATCCATTAATCCTAAGCATTTTAAAAGCTTACTATAACAATTTCATAACAGCTGTATAATGTCTGGCTCTGGAGGGAGCTTTCCAAAGTTTGAAAAGAAAACCCAGCTACGGACCTAAAATGTTTAGCATGCATTACATAGTGGAGGTGTGGGGTTTGAAAGAAAGGAACATTCAGGAGACAGTCCAGATGAAAGATGCAGGATTCAGTGCGTTTGGGGCTTGACCCATACAAGGGAGTAACAATTCTATTTTGGTCTTTAAAAAAAAAATCTGTTTCTTTTGAGATCCCCAACTTTACAGAAGTGTAGCACTAAATCACCCCCTCACAAAAGGCCTTTAGGAAATATAAATGAACTCTGGATATTGTCCAGGTGGCTCCTATTTTTCTAGTGTTTGACTCTAAAGCAACTATTGGAGTGGAATGGAATATTCTTCAATGAAGACATTTATGTATGTATAGTTAGGAGATATAGGTAGCAAAACAAGACTCTAAGACTTCTGATAAAAGCACTAGATGAGAAGTCACCAAAGGTCTTTAAAATTCATCCTCATCCAAATTCCATGGCGATCCTTTGAGCAGTTGTTGAGAGATTTCACACCGAGTTACAGTGGTGCACCAAGCAACTAACACTGCCAACCCTTAGAGCTACACTGCTAACAAGGCTACAAAAACAGTTGTCATATGGGACGTTTAGCAGCTTTTTTTTTTATTTTAGGACCTGCAGACAGATGCTATATCTGCTGTCTGACTCTCACAGACTGCAGTTCGCCTCACATCTGCTCAAAAACTAAAAGACCGTTCACACCGGTGCACAGTATGGTGTCACTTTACATGCAAAACACAAACATGACACATGAGCCCGTTCAAGCCCTGTGCTCACACTGGTCGGACAACACACGCACAGTATTAATTACTGTTTGTTCGCTCGTGTCGACACTTTGTGCATGAGCTGACAGTTGTTATGTGGGGCGCAGTTGGTGTTTTAGCGCTACTATTACTCACCAATCTCTCCTTGGTCATTCAGGTCAAACTCCGAATATTTATCTGCAAAACAAACACACAAGAGATTATTACTAACAGTGGTAATTCATTCTCAGCTCACACACCACATCCCCCGTGTGCAACATTTTTAACAAACAACAGTCGCCGGCTGGCATCTTAGATGTCAGCAAAACTGTTAACACACGCTGTCTGTGATCTCATTGTCTTACATTCTGCTGGCAGCTGACTTGGCAAAAGGAAAGACACGAACAGCTGATAATGACAGGTGTGTTTTGTGTGTGTGTGTGTTCGGATTTCTGTCAGCGGACGGCAGGCAAAGGGCAGCTGAGTGGGGTTGACGTGTGAGGCGGATTAGAGAGTGAGAGGGTCAGTAAGTTAAAAGGGAACTTTAAAGTTCAAACACAGAAAGCACAAAAAATCTGAAGATTAGATACATTAGTTTCCCCTCCCTCATTTAAATTAAATCTGATTCTTCTAGCCTGACAACATGCAGACAAACCCTGAACAGGGCAACATACAGGACGCGCATACATCCATGAAGCTTAAATGAATAGTTTGATAAATACGCTCTGCTCTCGTTCTTTCTGAGGGTACCACTCTCAACTCTGTCCGATAAAGTTCAGTTAGAAAATCCTGGCGCGTCAGGGAGCGTCTTCCTGGTTGGCTGCTGATAGCTATGTCAGCTGAACAGTCAATCACACTCAACAGTACGGCCGGTTGTACCAGCGACTGGCTCAGGAGTACTTTGGTTGAAATCAGATCTGAGAGTGTCTCGCCCTCCATTGTTAGTGAGTTAGTTTTGTAATTTAAAGTGGGGCTATAAAGGTTTGAAGCTGACATGCTGTTATCCTCTGTGTATAATGACACACAATGATCTAACTGACAAACTGCAAGTTGACTAAGGGGGCGTATGTACTGTTTAGAGTGCAGCCATTGTAAATATGAACTACTGCATGCTCATTCACATACAGATCAGTATTAACATGCTACTGAAGTTGCTGCAGACATTTTCCCGCTTCTCCCTAAATTTCACCATCCTCTTTTGTCCAGACGACCACTTTAGTCAGATTACACTTGCTATTTCTGTCCCACACTGGAAGCTCTGTGTGTGTGTGTGTGTGTGTGTGTGTGTTGTGTGTGTGCGTGCGTGCGTGCTGCGTGCGTGCGTGCTGGGAGGGAGAGAGAGAACTGTGTTAACTGTGTGAACCCATGGAGAGTGGGACAGGACAATGCTAACCCTGTTCGTAACTCTGAGGAGTGGGCCTCCACACACACACACACACACACACACACACACACACAGAGACAGAGCCACTCTTGAGTGGGCCACTTGTCGTAGAGCAGCCTGTTGATCATCTGCAGCCACAGAAAATGGCTCGACTGAACAAAACTTAAGTCTTCAGTGAATCCTCCTGACCTTCATTTCCTCAGCAACCGATGTGACAAAAATGACCATCAGCTTATGAACCGCTAGCCACTTTCTGAGATCTCTGATTTAGGTTGATTGGAGTAGTCTGATGTTGAGTTTGTCTACCACTCTCTTTGGCAGCTATCACTTGAAGGGGCTTTCAATCATAAAAGAAAATAACCTTGCTGATAAAATTATTTAAATGGATGATGACTTCCTCTGCTATTTTGGCCAACAGATAAACAAAGAATTTTCCCATCCCCTATAAAAGACAGTAACCCCGGAGGGCAGATAAACGCTTCGGTACGGCAGGCTTCTGTTCACTCTACAAACAACTTGTTTCTGTTCTCTCTCTGTAATGTGTGTAGTACGTCCTCTCGCTCCAAACCTTCCATTAAATGTATTATTAAAGAAAGCATAAAATCACACACGTTCTCGTTCACTTTTAAGAACTGATGTCCTCGCGGGTTCTGGCAAAGAAAGTGGCTAGTGGAGGTGGTAAGGAGCACCCATGGCAGAAACAGCTCTTGATGATAAACTCCAGCTTGAAAATATGAACTTTAAACTGACGTGTTCTAAGTGTCCAACTAGTGATTATCCGAGCCGATAACCTCAGACCTGCAGTGAGATTTTCCTCAAACGTCAGCTCTTGTTTGTGACTAATTGGGTTGTTTATCTCTGTTTTTTTTATTATCATGCAAAAAACAAAACGCTCCCCGCCGTGGTGATGTGCTGCTCTGATAAAATACTGGGATTGATCAATCACCTGCTGAGCTGAACTGAACTGAACTGCTGGCATCGTGGCTACAAAGCCACCATCGCTGACAGTTACATAAAGTCTAATATTAACACAAACACAGTCAATACTGCTCATTTATATAGAGGCGCTTTATATTGTTTGTCTGGGTCTTGTTGCACTTGTTAACAAAGCACTTCAAATTTATAACAATATGGAGCCAATTTAGGATATTTATCCAGTGTGATTACAAGATGAGCAGCAGAATAAAGGGAGGTTTTCCTGTGCCTACTGCTACATTTCATAAAAACTGATGAATTACTTCTGACGTTAGTCGAGGCTGTCCTCATTTCAGGGGAGGTGGGACAACTCCACTATTTCACCCTGCGTCTCAGTGTATTTGTGACAGTTTACGAAGTGCATATACTCTTTAAAGGATTCTTGTTTTGATGGTTGTTTTAGTGACAATTTTTGGCATTTGCAATCTCCTACTTTGTACCGGAGGAGCTGCACAACAACTTTCCTTGAGATAAATAAGAATCAGTGATATAAAACAAAGAAAATGATAATTAGATTCACCAAATTAACCAAAAATGATGTATAAAATACTTGCTACAGCCTTCCTATAAACGTTAAAGTAGGCTCTGTTTAAACATTTTTTTTGGTCACGAGTTGCACGGATGCGATTTGGTTGGTGGTTCGCAGCACAGTGTTTAGATCCCGACCTCTGGGTCACTGGGACAGTATGGAAAGAAAAGAAAAAAAACAGCAACCCTCTCAGGACCTGGGTGTCAGGTCCCCTTTCTGTTTATATATTACTGCTCCATTTCCTCCAGCGAGCAGAGATTGTATGTAGGACACTGGCGCATGTTTCTCATTTCAAGACATATGCCCCCATATTAAATAAACAGCCTTGTGTTATTCTGTCTGGGAAACCGCAGATAAAAAAAAACTCGACAGAAAGCGATAACAAAACACCCTACATGCACCCAGAGCATGCATGTGTAAGATCTGAGCAATGAGGGTGGAGTTCTTTGATAAGTCATGCAATTTTGCTCCTGTAATTAGCTCCAAGCTGCAGTCTTTCTTCTATTCCCAGGAGCTATGAATTTACCCAGCACAGTTCTGAATATTGGAACAACAAGCGGAGGAACGCCCCAGCACATTCCTCAAAGGCCACTGAGGACTTGGCCTTGCAAACCTCTTAGAAATCACAGCAGTCCGTCTTTCCCACAGAGAAAAACAAAACACTGAAGACTTTTTGTGTGTTTTTGTGCGCAGACTGCCAACAAGCAAACAAATATTGAGGCTAAGATAAAAGCCGGGGAAAAGGGACACGGCCTCACAAAGAGGGCCGCATACTCGTAGATACTAAAACTACCGAGGGAGAGGATTTGCTCACTTTTGAGGCCTTCCAGTTTTTCCGCCAGGTCTTCTTCATCCCTGTATTTCTGGTCTTCCAGGTATTCCTGAAAAAGAGGAAGAGGGGAAATGGAGATTGATCAGATAAAACCGGTTTTACAAGAATAACAGCATTTCGAAACTTCGCTGTGAAACTTCCTGCTGTATTATACAATGTAGAATTAAAAAGGAAAGAGGCCCACGCACAAATTAGAGCATAAAGTACATTGTGCCCTGTCGAATGTGTCAGAAATGTCCAACTTGAGAGCGATGACTCACAATCTTAAGACGTTCTTCCCCCTGGACAGTCATTATTTATCACAGTGCTCATTAAGTGGAACACCTCACAAGGGTGTAAAGGGAAAAAAAAAAAAATAAGCCTGAAGGGAGCTATTCTAATGAAATTATAATGACGCAATCTGCCATGTGGGAGTCAGCTTCAACCTGCGAGGAAGGAAGAGAGAGCGGGAGACAGAGAGGGAGGTTGTTCTCTACGCTGACCTCTGTGTGTCTGTCAGCCTCGTCATTAAGGGTGAGGAGGATAAACACCACGACTGCGTGTTTATCGGGGGCGCCTGACTCAGCCCGGCTGAATCACTGCTGCAACACACACACACACACCCCACAACCACACACAGAAATCTTTTATTATCTCTACAGAGAATGTTTGACAGTGCAGAGGTCATATACAGAGTACCAACCCTCCTCCAGGTGAAGATTCAGATTTTGTAAGTGTTGGAGGAGTTCCACTAACAATTTCTTTCCACCGGTTGGTTGCGATGCTTATTTTCATTATTGATTAATCCGTCGATCATCTTCTTGATCAGTCAACTAGCACATTGTTCCTTGCTTCCCAAAGGCCAAGGTGATGTCCTTAAATGTCTCGCTTTGTCCACAAAAACAAAAGACATTCAGTTTACAATCATCGAGTTGAAAACGGAGAATTTGGGTGTTTTCTTCTTTAAAAAGTGACCTAAAACGATCAATCGATTATTCAAAATAGTAATCAACTACTGGACCTAAAAAAACAACAACCTAATGATATTCTGTTAACATGGAAAATTTCAATAAATGTAATTAAAATTAGAAAAGTTGGAACCAAGGAATGTTTGCTTAAAAAAAAAAAAAAAAAACTGATTACAGATCAATAGACTAACCGATTGTTCGATTCATCACTGCAGCTCAACGTTATTTATGTGATGAGCCGTTCATACATGAGCAACCACCCTGGATACACAACAGTGATACGATGTGACAGATCTTGTGCCACTGCACCCACGTTAATGTAACAGAATGGGAGTAAATGTATAAAAAAAAAAACCTGGATTTAATCACAGTACAACAGTTATGTTTAGCCCCGGAGTCACTTCTCCAGTGAGGAAACGAAGGATATTAAAAAACGAAAGATGAATCCCTATGAAGGAACAATGAGTGCACAGGAATGTCAGAGGCGCTCCCGGCTGCCCTCTGGCCGCGACCTGGTTTTCCCATGTGGGAAGCCGATGACAGGAGGCCACCGCCAGAGTAAAGGAGGGAAAAGAGAGATTATACAGACATCTAGTTAATCTGCGGGAACTACTACTGGAGTTATCTGACGAGAGCGAGGCCTAATGTTAGACAAAGAGCTCTTTTCAGACACCTGTTTCCCGTCGACACCGAGGCGGAGAGGGGGAGAGAGGGAGAGGGGGAGCAGCCACGAAAGACACGATTCAAACGCATCTCTTAGCAAACGGATCGATACGATTTGGGGGGGGGGAGAAATACTCATGCAGCCATTCAACAAGTGCCACAAAGACTGCAGGGGAAGTCGATAAAATGCATCAACATCATCGCCACGGTCAACTCCAATAAATGTGCCTGGCATCTGAGGAGGGGGGGGAGGAGGAGGAGGGG